CCAGAGAATCTACAGTGCCCCTTGCACATAAGTTAACTGCGCAGACAAATTTCATATGCTGAAATGCAAGTAGGTAGTGTATTTATGATTTTTTTGCGCACACAGTTGAAAAAAATTGCAATACTCATGTGTCTTTGTTATTCAGTGCTACATGTTTCCTTTGTATTACATTGTTGTGTAAAACAAAGAACTTTAAGGTTTGATGCATCTCAGTGAAGTTCTGCATATTATACTGTGCAATTATGGGGCAGAGAGGAAGTTGACTGAAATTAAAAAACTAGTTGATTTAGGTGACATGTGAACCACCAAGTATTACTCATTGACCAGTGAAAATGTAGCAGCTAAACAAAAATTGAAAAGTCATAGTAGAGAAGCTTTCCATTTACATGTATTTCATACAGCAAATAGACCTCTTCCATATTGGCAATATTAGCAATTTTTAGGCTAGTAACTACATGAGGTGATTTAGATGACGTGTGAACTACTAAGTATTGCTCATTGTCCAGTGAAAATGTATCATCTGAAAGTAAAAATTGAAAATTAACAGTAGAGAGGTTTTCCACTTACGTGTATTTCAATCAGCAATCGACCACTTCCTATATTACCAACTGTAATTTCTATCTTTTTGGTGTGTAATATGTAAATTGGCCCTCTCTCCTGTTGCTCATTCTAGAAAAATTAGCTTATTTCAAAACATGTTGTCTAGGGGCCACAAAGGCTGATTTACATGGATGAAAAATAATATAAACGACACTTGTCACTTCTGGAAGCATTCTATGATAGCACAAAAAGATTCTACAACCTCATTTTGTTACTTCTTGACATGAGAGGTATTTCTTCCAAACAGTGAGTTATATAATCTCATTTTCAATACAAACTCAGGCACAGGACTCTCAGTGGAGGGCACCTCAAAGAAAACTATGAAATAATTCCATGTGTTTAGAAATGCACACGTACAAGGTTTTGTTTCTGAATTAATTCCATGGTCATGAATATTTCATAATCGAGGCATATTTTCAGGAGCCCTAAAGCTAAAACCAGTCAAACCAGAAGCTTCTTGAGCTGACACATTTTCTTCTCCTCATTCAAGCTCAACATTTGTTGCTTAAGTAACAATATTGAACTCTGCATAAATGCCACATCACAATTAAACAAAAGAGACAAAAAAAAAATGGTTATGGAAAGCAGGACTTTCATAAAATACAAGGCTTGAAATAACAGCCTGCCAATGGACAATGTGCAGTTAAAAAAAAAAGTTGATCAGCCAAATCCTTGGGTTGCTAGACATGTTATCCACTCATACATGTTTTCATAAAAATAATTTACATAAGAACTAGACAAGGTACTTGTAATAAAATTTCTACTATGCAGAATTAAGAATTTGCACAATGTCATCTAGTCATGAATCAAGTCTATGTCAGATCAGGTCAAAGATTTTTGCTACACTAATTACTCTACACAATGGCCCACCTACCAGGATAATTTATGCAGCAACTGTTGTCAACAAGCACCAGAAGCAAGACAAAAGCCCCCAAGGCTAGGAGAACCACTTGCTCCCCCTAAAAGACTTACTTAGGAATAACTCTAAACCAAAAGGCTTCAATAGTTCTTCCTTGTTAAATAGAACAAATGTTAGACAACATCAGCAAAGCTAGAAATTTTTCAAACAAAAAACATCCTAATCCAGAGAAATGAAGAATTCAGCAAACCTTCTTTCTAATTCCTTAGGGATGACTAATAGTGCCAAACTTCAAGTTCACCAGAACACATTTTTCATCTCAAAGATGCTTTACTTTTTATGTGAAGTATCCAGCAGATTGAACACAAGGAGTCTTAGATTGCTTGCAGCATCATAGAATCATAGCTAATAAAAGTGGCAAAGCATACAACCAGAATCGCTATGAGGCAATGTCATTCCATTTTGATCCTTTACACCTAACATCAGTATGCATATTCTCCATACTGTTCTCCATATATTTCCTTAGGTGCTGACAAGGAGAATTTGTTTAACCATCAAGAGCTTCTTTAGTTGGTGATCATTTCCTTTATTCTTGTGACCTAACTGTATTTCTTGAGCCAAGCCATTTTTTCAGTATTTGACACGAAAGTATGAGATTTTTTCACGAGAAATGGGATTCGGCTTATAGCCGCGGGTTTGGGATTCAAAAACAAGACAATAGTACAATTGCAAATTTAATGTTAATGCAAAATTACCATGAATTCTGTGACTGCAGCGCTCTTTACGTGGCATGTTTTAAAATTGTCATGACAACAACCTATTTCTGACCACCAATCAGATTCTTTGCTCCCCATGCATTAAAAGACCATCTCACTCAACTTGACGAAACCCTACTCATTTCACATTACAAATGAAATATTTGGTCTCTCTGCCGTAAAAACCACTCCATCACTTGCTCATCTAGTTCAGGATACTTGGGAGTGAAATGGCCCATTTTTGCATGTTTTGCAGACATTTTAAGCTTGCCAGAAAGAATAGTTGCCTGGTCTCTTCTCCAGCAACGCACCGTGGACTTGCTAAGTCCATAATTTTAAGTGATCTCTGAATGGTTTTCTACAGCGTCAGCTTCTGTGATAACATTTATCTTGAAAGCCATAGTATATAAAGAGCAGTGTGCTTTTGGCATGATGGGAAAATTAATAACAGTGATGAAAAAAATTGAAATTGAAATCGATTGAAACGCTTGTCAGGTTACTGTAACTGAGAGTATTGTTGTGTTTCTGCAGTCGCATAGTAGTATTTACATCTTCACTGACTCGATTTTTTTCATTTGTGTTTATTGTAATTCATTAGCTTTTGTGTTCAGTGAGCCATTTCCAATGTTTCCCATGAGGTTTGCTAACTCAAATGGCCAGTTACAATCAAGAATTTCACTCTCAGCTTATAGCCAATGGTTTTGCTTAATTTTTTGGACAATACAAGTCTGTTGGAAGGTGTCTAACTTTTAGGGTCTCAGCTTATAGGTGAAGAAATATGGTAACTGTTTGATTCTGGGATGATATTGCGAGGAGAAATTAGAAGCTAAAGGGTTAAATAAATTTTCCAAAACACTCAGTGATCATACATTTTAGCCTCACAAGCTCTTTCTTTATAGTTCAGCGCAAAAAACCTATAGTGTTTATTAGGTATTAGAGATGGGAATATTCTCTGCTTAGTATGCAGAATTAACTGGCTCAATTTAAATGGCCTGAGTTGTTTGTAATCAACATTTTAACTCCAATGAGTGACCAAAACAGAATTTCTCCTTACAATATCACTACAATATAAAACAGACAAGTGATGAGAAAAAGGAAAAATATAAATCAGGGGATTATTAGTAGATCCAATACCAAATTCTCCAAACTAACAATATAAGAATCATATAGTACACAGTGAGGAGTGTTAATAATGAGATCTTGGGAGCAAAAAGGTTAATGATGATGGGGCCAGTGTCTCCACAACAACAGATGAGGTTAGTACCAGGGTTACAGCTATGACTTATAGGCCACACTGCTGAGCCACAACAAAATTATTTTTGCCATCTAGTGTACAAAATTTATATGGGCATGCTCACTAATTTTGAGGGTTGAAAAAGAATTCTCACTGCAAAAATTGAGTGAAAAATGGGAAAGCATCTATCTCTTAAAAAAAGATTGACTTCACACTGATCAAGAGTTTAAAATTTTATCATTCCATAGGGTTGGTTTACACAGTTCTATTTATTTTGTGTGCTATTTTGTGTTTACAACCATTGTCGGTTAGAGTCAATTCATTGAGTTAAAAAAATGGAACTACTTCTTAGGGAAAGATGTTTTTCATCTTGTCATGAATGTGGGACAAAGAAAAAATTTTGAGTCCCCACGAGGAATCAAACCTCAGCACTTAAAAACTTAACACCACTCTTCTCTCTTAGTCTATTTACAAACATGATGCTACTGACATTGCTGACCCTAGCAGTATGCAGGACGTGTGTCATATGAACTTCGTAATAGACCTCGCTCACTGTAGTCTCTATGGCTCAGTGGTAGAGCATTGGAGCATGGAATCTGAAGGTCTGAGGTTCAATTCCTTATGGGGACTCAGAATTTTTTTTCTTTGTCCCATGCTTGTGACAAGATGAAAAACATCTTTCTCTATTTCTTTACTGAGCTCAAAACTTAACATCTCTCTTATTCTATATGCAGAATTACTTCTTGTTATGCATTTTTCATAGAAAGTGAATGTTTCCTCTAAATGCTTGTAAAAATCAACAGATGAATTTTTCTTGAAAGAGGTTGATGAAATTAAAGATTTTCATTTTCATTGGAAATCAAATCACAGAAATTAACGATTTCATTGTCAGATGCACACAATTAAAGAAAAAGAAACTCATATCAGTTAGGTTTAACGTCTTTAAATCGGCCATGTGGAGCTATACAAATCAAAACACAAAGGAAATTTCGATCATATAAATCTCGCTCTATGTTAACACTCTGAAAAGATTACAATATCTTTTTCGTCCGTACGTGACCGAATTCTCTTTAACGATATTCAAATCTATATAATGGTCATCCATATATAAAGTAAGAGTCACATACATGCAGTCTGGAACTTCATAATACAATATCGATTATTAAACAAATTCTTAAAGAGTAAAATATGCCGTAAGGCATGAGTGGTAAACCTTGTATATCTTTTATGAAAAGCTACCTTTCGAACTTTGAGAAAAGAGTATATAAAAGTAAAGCCAAACGATTGAGCAGTGATCTCGAGTGATGTCAAATACATTGACTTGAATCAAAGCATTCAGAATGGTGCAAATGATTGTGTTACATCACATTATATGACATTTGAACCCGACTTGAGTTTCAAAAACGCATTCGTAAAGTTTCCAGATACAAAAGGAACAGTACGTATGACTACAACCAAGAACCTTCGGCAGATTGCTTGACAAAGGTAAGCTATCATCTCACACTACCAGCTGTATCACCTGATTACTGATCAAACAAAAACTTTGACTTACCAGCATCACCGCCTGTTCTCGATGTCGGCCCACCATGAAAACTTCCGTCTAAGATCGTGGCACGCAACTCTTAGGCTTCACATGGATCAAGAGGCAGCATGTATGAGATCTCTCAAGTCAAGTGCGTCACAATAAACACCGCAGAATGAAGAGAACTTCCGCTCACACTACCAATATGGCGGACATCTATTGTTATTGGTACTCAGTCTCCACTTAATGTTCGTGCCTGGTTCGTGTCGATAAGAAGCATGGGTCGAGGGGTGAGCCTTGCTCTTATTACTGAATAATTATACACGTTTTTCTTTTACTGAGTTGTTTTTAGTACTTATTGCATTTGAAACTTCCAAAGATAGGGAGCAAGTTGCTTTCTTTTACTTTGACTACATCAGAGAGAGCCGGCGAAGGACACATTTAACCATGGTTATGTTAAGGTTTTTTCATGCTAGGTCGGCTGTCGAACATAGTCTAACATATCACGCGCCCGAGTCGCATTACATCACGATAGCTACTTCGGTAGTATCAAGCCTTCCTACAGATACACTTTCAGTTCCACTGTTACCAGGTTACACATTGGCTATTTACACTCTGAACAACCTTATATACCTTTTTTTGAAGTATTCAGTCAATGATAGAATTTTAACACTTTTCCCTTTGAGTATGTTCACACATTAACCACGAGTACATCTTACTGACCGAGTTCGAGATCTTTAATGCGATTTATGGGCCATGCGCTAAGCAGGTGAGAAAACGACGAATGCATAAATAGATTATAGAGTGTAATACAGGTTATAGAGTGCAAGACGGAAGTTGCTATGGAAACAGAGGGGAAGCGCCGAATTTGAACACCAAATTTAAAAAAATCACTCGTGCCCATAAATCACGAAATATACGTTCACACGATTTCCTATACAAATAACCCAGTAGAGTGGCTGTATAAACTTAGGCCTGGTTCCTACCCACATTTCCCGACTTTTTCTTTTTTGCCTTCGGGTTTTTCCTACGAGCTTTTTCTGGCCACCGTTAAAACTACCTCAATGATTGTAAGTGGTTGCTCGGATCTCGGTTTATTTGATTTGAATGTACTGCAAGATCTACGGCTGCGAATATAATGATTCCGTATTTTAAGTGGATTGGTGCTCGGCCAAACGGTGCAAAACAAACCTAATGGTTCAATATTTGAGCGGTCTGCTGTTTCTTGGAAGCTGAAATCTACTGTTTACAAAGACCTCTATCATGATGCTCTTTACTGAGATTTGCTTTAAAAGTAAAATAATTAAAAAAAAAAAAAAATAGGAAAGGAAGAGAACTAATTCACAGGGCACGGGTCTACGCCAACTGGACTCTGAAACGCACCTGTTGTGCTGATTGCCATCTTTCTTGGTATCTTCCCTCGCTGACAGAGGTCATTGATCTTGAGGTAAAGAAGCGAGTGACGGATTTCAAGAGCGATTTCTGAAGTACTCACCAAAACGGAGGAATTTGTACGCATGGGTGCTAACAGCCGTAGAAAAAGCACAAGCGTGGAGAATGAGCCAAGCAATGCAAATAAAACAAGAAGAGACTGGGACGAATAAGTTCCTGCCACAAGTTTACATAGGTTTTGGACCTGTTCACAATTCCAGTTTCTCACTGCAAGCTGCGTAACGACAAGAGCTTCAAGCTCGGTATAGGAGAACTGTACTTCTGAAATTTGCCCAAACTTAGTGAAACCCTTACGCGTCAGAGAGAGGTAGCTGAATGTAACTTTCGTTCCCTTCGTAGAAACGAGGTGACACTTTTCACAATCATATCACGTGATCTGGGCTCCTCCTTCCCGCTTCACTATAATCCATGATAGGACTTAAATCCTGAGATTGCTGTTTAGCTGCATGATGACTGAGTAGATCGTTGGAAACAATTACTCTGCTCCATGATACGTTCGGCTTGTTGTTAATTATATCAGATGTCTTAAGTTAGAGTACTCAGTATTTGTGCGTTCAATTTACCACTGACACAACCTCGCATTTTTACAAAAAATTTGGGACGCAATTAGCAATGTCTTGTTGTTCTCGGTGCAGCCATTTAAACGATCCAATCGCTTATGAATCGAACTTGCAAACTCGATCGAACGCAGTTGAACTTATCTTGTGTTTAAATAAGATGCATGCAAAAATTTCAGCATGCTCATTGGCTATTCCATACACTGCAGAAAGTTTGAATTGAGTGCAGAAAGTTAGAATTGAGTGCAGACAATTGGATTAAATTGACCCACAGGTAAGTCGTGAAAACACAACAAAACAAAATGGCCGACAGGTTGGGAGGAAGTAATAACGTATTAACTTAGAGTTTAAAGGACAAAACACTGAACGAAGCACAAACAACTGGCTAAAAGCCTGAAAGTCTTGGGCTTCCATAAACAGCTCTGACAAAAGTATTGAAACGCACGGACCAGCGGTCCTGAACAAAATTCTTTGGGAGTTTACGCCAGAGTTCGAAGGAAAGACAGGGAAAATTTCGGGCAAACCGGTTACTCTATTAAAAAATGTAACAATATTTTTTCATGAGAGGAAATGGGAACAAAACATCGCTGACCGAATACAGTTGTGTCGCGTCCTAAACCGGAGGGAGTCACGTGATTGTGTTAGTGTGACACATGATGACAGAGATCGCCGGCAAGGTCGCCGAGGTTAGTGCATGTCATCCATGTCGCGGGAATGATTTCACAATATTCCAGTGGGTTTTAACTTTAAGATGTTACGGTAAGTTAGATTTTGTAAAAGAAATTTCGTTACTTACTTCATAGCTATTCTTGCACGATCATGCGGCGGCAACACGTACGTGTGAAAGAATATTGCGTGGACATGATCCTCGGTAGCTTTTGAAATCTACTTTGTAACTATTTGAAATATATTTCTAATGGTTATTTCTAACTTTTTCTCAACTTTTATATCTTAAATTTAGGTTTAAGTCTGTGAAGTTATGAAAGAGATTCCATCGAATGCTCGCAGTTGGAACTTGACCACATCAGAAGTACATCGGATTTCAGGATCAATGCTCTTTAAGGTTTGCGAACTATTTCATTACGTTAGTGGTGTTAAGTTTCAAAGCCACTGTTATTCTACTGCATTATTCAGACGAAGCTTTCTTTCCTTTAAGATGCTTTGATGATCTTTGTGATTTCGGCGTATATGTTTTATCTGAAATTGACAGTTGCATGATCGCCACCCTCTGAATTGGCCGAAACAGTCTCAATTATTAGATTATCTGTCGCCGACGTACATGTTCGCGAGATCAGTTTTTGAGAAGGAAGAACAAAAGGTGTTGATAGTCCATTGTTTGGTTCTCTGCGCAGTTAGGATATTTTATCGGTTTTTAGGTTGATATGGAGGTTTTCATGATTACAGAACTTGGTCTGAGATAAATCACACTTAAGTATGGATGCAACGTACCACACAGTGACAATGATGTCAGAAAATCGTACTATTTCATCGCTAAAAAACCGGTTTGCTACTGTAAAGAATTACCTACAGCCTTTATTTTGAAAATGTCGGCCATTGCATACTGTTGTTGCAACAACATAACTTTTTGCGGGAAAATCCGCCATTTTGAACGAATGCCGGTTGTTTTGCCAACGCCCATATGTAGGTTCGCCAGCGTCCGAAATAAAGCTTTTAGCTGAAAATCATTGTCAAATATATTACTAGGAATTTACCTAAATGATTCAGACAGTTGCTGTTACTTCTTTCCGGATGTCACTGAACCTTTATTGAACCTTTAAATTCTCTTCAATCCCTCCTCAAATTTTATCAGGTTACATTATTGTTGCTCATTTTCTTTTGCAAAGTTGGTGACATCTAAAGGAGCGGTTTTTTTTTTGGTGGTTTTTGTCGAGTTCTTCAGTTCCCATGTGTTGGGCCTTTGAGATGAGAACAGGTTCTAAGCAGCTGTGTGGTATCTTCTTTGTTGTCTTGTGCTTCACCAAGCTGTCAAATGGCATTGCTTGTAGGTTTTCACACTGCTTCTGCTGGACTTGTTTCAGTTTCCTGTTTGAGGAAACATCTATTTCAGGAAATATCTGTTTCCATCCTTGTGGGGATGGTTGAAAGTCTCACCTCTCTATCTAGGAGCTGGATTAAGCGGTATAGCAATAATCTGCACTGCCCACTTGCACAGCCATTCAGAGCATTGTGCCACCGCTCATTGTTGTTGTTCATTCTGATGGCCTACTTCTAGATGCTCCAGTTTTTGGGTGGGAAAACTGTACTTTCAATCCATTGTTGTTTATTGTAGTTGAAAAGTTGTGAAAGGCTCAGTTAAGGCTTCAACTTAATGGTGATAGAACATATGGTTGATCTGTTGGGTTTGCGGTCATTTTTTTTCATGGTCAGATCATTCCAAGTCAGATAGATCCACTCAACAGTCAGATCTTTCCCCAAAATAGTCCGTTCATTCCACATATAATTCATATTTTCTAAATAGGTAAATATGATCTGAGTACAGAGTAGCAATTAGAACATAGACAAAAGTATTTTCAGAACTTTTTACATAATAGTGAGAGCATTGTTTGGTAATTTCAGTCTGCATTGCAGAACGACATGAGAACTATTTACATCATAGCAGGAGCTTATGTTTGTCAATTTTTTACCACAACACAGAACAAAGGATGTTCAATAAAGTACTTTGTAGCTTGCATGTTTGTTAGCATGCTTGATGTAAAGTGGTTTTAGAATTAACATTATCCATAGGAAAAATTTTCCAAAAACACATGATTTGAATAGTTAATGGTAATTTAACAAATCTCATTAACAAATCCATTAATGGTAAAACAGAATCCTTACCATTCATGGAAAACCTAGAATAAACATTAATGGACATCAATGAAAATCCATGATGTGTTTGGCATATGAGTTAGACTTTTTCCATCTTAGATAAAGGCAAACTTCCATTGATGGTAATACCACAGTTATCATTCAAGGGATTAAAACATTTCCCATTATGGGTTTCTCAATAATAGAGGTTAACCTGGCAAACCCACATTGGGAAATCACAGAATTCTATAATGTGATTATCAAATTAAACTCTCTGGAAACTAAGAAAAATCCATTGTGGATTTTTGGTCATCATGTTGGGAAATCACAGAATTCCACCCAGTGATTATCTCAATAACCAACATGAAAACTGCAAAAAACCTATTATCGATTTGAATGGTCTTCAGA